CGTGTGTGTGTGTGTGTGTGTGTGTGTGTGTGTGTGTGTGTGTGTGTGTGTGTGTCTATACATAGGAAATTTAAAAAATCACAATAAACTCAGCTTCAGAGCTGCAATACTGCAAAGAGATGCACACAGTCAGACACATGCAGTGCTCAGATAATCCACCACTGATTGTAATTGATGCACCAAAAGTGTCGGATGCAGCAAAAATGATCATATTTGCAAATTGATATTTCATTTTTTGTTTGTTAGAAGGTTCAGTAAATACTCCAGTTTAAAGAAAATTAGAATTTTCTGGTGATTATTTCACGGTTCAGGCTTTAGTTTGTATAATAATATCATTTAGTCTTTGGGTTTTTAACTTTACAAACTTCTTGTTCTCAGATTTTAAATAACATTTTCTCATGATCACTCTGATTCAACACAAAATCTTCTCTTAAAGGTGTAAAGCATCCGACTGGAGTTACCCGCTTTGCTAAGTATTGTGCTGCCCCCCAGTGGGCAACTTCAGTAGCGTAGTTTCCTCTGAACCGTCTACACACAGCTATGACGCTATAATCAACTGTTATAAAATCATTTACATTATTTACAATGTGCCACAGTTTCAGTTCTGATTACATTTAATTTGCTTACAAGATTTCACCAAATCACTTCCCTTAAATTCAGTAAAACTACGAGCAGAGAACTGATCCGATGCTTTATGCAGTAATAACGACAGCAAATAAAAACGCAGAGGGTGCGCGCATGCATCGTGTTTGTGTGTATCGTTGTGTGTTTATGGTGCATCCCGCTGTGTGCACACATCAGCTCACCGAGATGTAAAGTGGGTCAAAGCTCCGTCTGCTTCAAGATCAGCTCCTCTTTTATGTTTTCTTTACAAAACCAAAGATTTCAAACACAATGTTCTGTTCGTACTCAGTAAAAAAGTGCATTTGAGTTGTAGTTGAAGCACCGCGCTGCAAAAGTTAGGTTCACTACTCCGGTGTCCAGATTTCTTTAAAATGTTCAACCGAATTGCTGAAAGTGCTGCTACGACACAATCATGGTTCACATCTGGGTAAAGTTTTTACTTTTCTGTCAGTGAAGCTGCAGCAACACAAACTGTTCACTTAAGAGGAATCAGGTGATTTAAAGGCGTCGGACCTAAACCTGACATTACTCGTTAACTTCATTTGGATAAACTTAATTAAACCGCACGGAACCAACTGAAGCTCCAACAATTTTACATTTGCAGACGTGAAACTCACAAACTAATCTGATTACACAGAGTTGCTTATTTAAAAATAGAAATGTCTGGTATGAATTTAAGCACAAACTGAACTTTCCAGCCTCCTGACTCTCCCATAACTACAAACCTCACATTACCAGAATACTGAAGTCGTTAAATGAATCGTGACTGAAGATTTAAGTTATCGCTCAATATAGGAGAAAAGTGGTTTGAACTGTTTTGCCTTCAAATGCCAAAATGCTCTATTTCTGGGGATCATTTATCTTTATTCATGCCAAAAAAACAACAAGTTTTTTACAGTGCAATGACTCACCCAATACAGATGCCGTTATTACATACACTGCAAAAAACAAAACCCTATTTAAAACAGAAAGAAAGAACATCTAGCAGACAAAGATCCAGAAGAAATATGCTAAAACTGGTAGAATAGTGTAGCGTCAAAAAGGTTAAAAAAATAAATAAAATAAAATAAAAAAATGGCAGCAACTATCTGTAAAATAATCCGATTTTTAGCTGATTTAATAACATAATATTTCAGTCACATGGTGTAAAAGAACAAATCATAGAAATAGAGATTTTTGATGCATGTGTATTTTTTTTTTATGGTTAAAATATAAATTTTTTTTCAGTGATTTTACTGGTTATTATCTGTAATTTGCTGCTAACCTGCCTTCTGTCGTTGTTTAACAATGACAATAAAGATGTTTTTGTAATTTAACCAAACAGGAAAAAAACTATGAAATACCACTAAACTGTTTTCTTTTCTTTCTTCTTTTTTTTAAAATCACTATTAAAAATGTTAATTTTTTCCCGTCCATTGCACATGTATGTGAAAGTGATTCACCACAGCAGCAGTTTTTTTTAACTAACTCTTTTTTTCCCAGAGTTTTACTTTAATACATTCAGTAAATCAACTCATTTAACCAGGTTTGTATAATTTACAGGCACAGCTGATCTGACAACCTGAGCACAGCTTTAGATGTGACAACGCTGACGTTAAACAGAGTGAAGCTCCTCTCTGAAAACCCTGAAGTCGTCCAGCGAGTGTCACTGAGGACATCGTGCCCCCCCTTTGTACCTGCGGCTGTCTGGCTTATTATTATGGTCTGTCTGGCAGGCCGCCTGGCTGGTGGTCTCTAAGTGAACTTGATACTGAAATCAGCGGCCGGCTGTGATGTGTAGAACATCAAGGAGGCCGTGCGGAGCTCAGTCTGGAGCTCAGCCAGTCACTTAACACTTGTCAGCAGCTCTAATGAAAGTGGCCTTTTCCTCAGCGACCTCTTTTTCATTAGCGGGGTCAGAGGGCGCCGCCCAGGGCCGGCTGTCTGTCGATCTAAGTGGTCAAACGGTCGAGGAAGAGGGGGGAAGGGGGAAAACATTCAGCGGATAGCGGGTTCCTTATGTTCTGCTTCGTTTTGGTCCTCGTGACTCATTTTGTGCGCGAGGCGTCCCGCAGCTCCGGCATTTGTCAGCCCTAATTTGATTCTCACCCGACACCGTTTGCCCCCTTTAGGACTGGTCTTTACGTCGTCGGGATGTTATCAAGCATGAGGCCCATCGGTTTAACTTGTCTCTCTGTTCTCTATTATGTCCCCTAAACACAGATGTGTCCAGCCGAGTGAGGAGAAGCCGGAGAATCAGCCAGCGTCCCTTCACCTCCTCCTCCTCCTCCTCCTCCTCCTCTTCCCCTTCACCCCGGCCTCCTGCACATGAAAGGGGCCGCACAGGGCCAGTGGACGGCCGGTGGGGTGTGTGCTATGCGAGGGCCCCAGACCCAGACACAACACAACACACAGCTCTGCGGGCCACCACAGCTGGGCTGGAATGTGACCTGCTTCACATTTTAATGCCAGACTGGGCCCTGTGTTCATGTGTGTGTGTGTGTGTGTTCATGTGTGTGTGTGTGTGTGTGTGTGTGTGTGTGAACTACAAGTGGAAGGAGGAGGACACGGATGGAGGGACGTCAACTGCTCGCCCGACAAGCCGTGACCGAGTCCGGTGTTTTTCTCCCCTTCGGCAGCGGCGCGACAAAAATCGCCCAAAAAATCCAGGAGTATTTTCAAAATCAACTTTATTCGTTTACCGTCAATATGCCATAAAACTTGTATAGTAATGACTTGCTAACATGAGCTATCGCAGATAAAATAAAACAATCTGTAATTAGATCCAACAGAGGTATATTCTGCCTACACTGTTTATCCACAGCCCTATAAGAAATAGATCAAATAAATATGAAGTACACGAGTCCACATACATATTCTGTGTTGTAAATGAAACTTATCAAAACGGATTCCAAAAAGAGGAACCAGAGAGCTTATTTGATTCTGGTAGATAACTGAGGCTTCACATCGCATTACAGTGAGCTCACGTGCTCAGGACAGATGTTACACAATGTCAACTGTGAGATACCCATGAATACATAAAGCAAATACACAAATCATATTAGAACACACAGCTACGTGAAGGATATTAGTGGATTTAGGATAACATTTGGAGAGGGAGGGGGGGGATTTAAATACTTTGTACAGGGTACATGCTTGTGACTAATAATGTAGTTGCTTTGCCGAGACAGTTGAGCCCAGATGTGGCCACTGTCTGAGCATGTTGCTAATGGGAATAAGGGGTCTAACTGGACCACGGCTTTGAGGAAATCACGAATAAAAACAACTAACAAAACGATCAATTTTGCGAAAATCTTCTGAGTGATATGGAGAACGAGGTTGGCAGCAAAACCTCCAACGTTACAGATAAGTTACTAGCTTTGTGTTAGCTGGCAGTCGGTCTGACTGTTGAGGTCACTGGAGCTTGGAATCATCTGAACGCGACACACGAGAGCTGACGTTCAGGGAGACTCTACTGGACGGCCGAGAAATCTTTAAGGAAGTCGCAGGTTTTCTTGTGGACGATCTCGCGCAGCTTCCGGACTCTGCGAGCGCTGGAGGAGCCCACGAAGCTGTCGGGCTGCAGGACGGCCATCCCGTTGTGAACGTCCCCCATGATGATGAGCTGCCCGTCGGCCGCGGTGATGTTGGGGCAGGGGCAGTTCCAGTCCATGTTGAGGAGGGTCACCTCCAGAGGTTCCTTGCCGAAGAACCTGAGGCCCATCTTCTCGTCCTTCAAGATCTCCTCCACCGTCACCAAAGCGTGGCCGGACTCCTGCTCCTCGGTCAGCTCCATCACTCGCCCGAGGATCACAAAGTCACTCTTGCAGAAGCTGGCGACCATCTTGCCTCGAGGTTTACACACCTTGCAGTTGTGGTTCTTCGGAAAGGGACACATCTCTTCGCAGGCCTCTTTGGACTCAAAGTTGTTCTCGTTGCCGCCGCAGCCTCCATACACAAAGGACTGGCACTTTTTGAGAGTGCTGCTGTACGCCCAGCGAGGCTCGTAGGCTTTGCAGGGCCCTTGGAGGCTCGGTAAGCTGCAAGGAGCCGCCAGCTCCGCTCCGCACGACAGCATGCAGGCTTCGTAGGTGTCGAAGTGGTTTTGGTTCTTGTTGCACTGACTGTAGGTGAAGGTGAAGCAATTGTTCCTCTTTGGTTCATAGTACCAGCTCATGCTCTCCTCTCCACAGTCATCCGTGTCAGGACCCTTGAGGCACTCTGCGACTGGAAAAGGCAGGTTGGTGCTGTTCCCTTCTGCATTCTTACCTTTGGATTCCTTCTTGATCACCACCAAAGGAAAGTGCGACGACACGCTTCCCCCGACGTTTTTGGCGGTGCACGTGTAGATGCCGGCGTCCTGAAGTTGTGCGTTGTATATAACCAGCTGACCGATGTTGGTGACCACGACGTTCCCCCGGACGTGATTGGGTCTCATGATGGTGTTCTCTTTGCCTTTCAGCTGCTTCTCCCAGGTGATCTCCGGATGTGGCTTCCCAGACACCTCGCACAGGAAGCTAGCTGTCTCACCCACGAAAACCGCCTGCTGGGTGGGTCCGCTGTGAATGGCAGGGAGCTGGATGTCAGTTGGGATTGTGGTCTGGAGGGCGGTGGTGGGATGTAAGGTGGTTTCTGCAGGGATTGGACTGGTGTTTGGCCAGGTCAGGTGGTACCTGTAGGTACAGACCAAACAAGACAGTAATTAATCAGAGCCAGGCAATGTCAAATATTTGGATAAATTACAAATACAGTCGTGGCTTGATAACCTGAGACTAAAGGTCATACTTTCTTTCTTGTTGGATAACAAGGCGGTTGGATTGTGAAGACGGAGGTCGAGCTACAAGGAGGGCTTGATGCTTGATTTGTAGTTAATATTTATTGTTAGAATAAACTATCTATGTATATGATATTGTTGTAATTTACTTGAAACAAAATAAAAGATTCATCATGAACTACATCGGTCGCTCCATGGCAGCGCACGACGTGCTCTGTGACTTCTGGTGACTTCTGGTCAAAACTTGTTAGATGCAAATTTTACGTATGATGTCTGACGTGTAACAGCATCGAAGCAAAGTGTTTCTATGATTGATAAGCCCGATACAACCGCAGTATATAGGCTCATAGAATTGTTCAGGTGTCAAAACACGTCACATTGTTTGATACTTCCAAGAACTTCAAAGCACCAAACCTGTCCCTCCTGTGCTCCACACATGTAGAGTTGTTTACGAACAAACTGATGCAAACCGACTTCATAAGTTGGGCAAACTCCCTCAATGAGTGGGACTAGCGTACTGTTAGAACACTACGCATCGCTGGATTTCACGCCTAACTGACCGGTGTGCTTGTGCACGGGCCCGTCGGTTGACATCAAAGGTAACTAAATCTGTGGGATTGTTCAGTCAGATAATACGCTGTTATCCTGATTTAAATAAAATGTCATGTCCGAGTCAGAATCCAAGCCTGTCGCTATGGTAAGGCCATTTTTTATGGGTTTCGTTCATTTTTCCTAAAAACCTGTCGGATAGCAAGGTTTAGGATTGTTAAGGGTCGGATCATCGAGTCACGACTGTAGATGTATTTTTCAGAAAATGTTCTTGATTTGGAAGACTTTACCTCATTACACCAAAAAAAAAGCAACAAGTAGAGATCTAAAATACTTAACATGTTACCTGCAGGTGACCTCAGAGATAGAGATACCCTTGGAGCAGGCCTCAGCATCCATGTAGCACTTGTTATAATATGTCATGCCGTCGGATGCGCACGTGAAGTGGGGTTCTCTCTCGCAGCGGTCCCGACACTTACAAACAGGCTGGCCGTCCCAGATGTCGCACTCGGACCCTTGCTGCGAGCACATGAACTTGTCGCACGTGGCACCCTTTGGCATCCCGATAGGGCCCTTGCTGCCCTTGATGTCTATATAGCGCGCTGCCACACAGCTCTTGTTACCGCACACATTAGGGCAGCACTTCTCAAATGTTTCACAGTCCTAAAGTTTGGAAAAAGAAAATAAAACTTCCGCACCACATACCAGCCACATCTGTTCAGTATATAATAATAACAAATTTTATTTCTACTGCACCTTTCAAAACAACTTCTACAAGGTGCTTCACAAAGCATTAAAATACACAAAAGTAACATCAGTAAGAACTTTGCAACTTTAAAAAAAAAAGCTGTTAAAATATATGCACTAGACAAAAACAGAGAAATTAACTGGATGCTTGGTGAAAACGTGAAGATTGAATTCTGTAAATGCTCAACATCTGGCGGCACTAATCAAACTTAAAGGCAGCATTTGGTTTATTTTTTTTAAATAAAAGTAACCATCTGCATAAACTACATCCAGAAATTCCTTCAGATGTGTCCAGTTTATGTTTTTCCTTTTAATGTTAAAGGGCAGCAGCTCCTTGAGAGCACAAAATAATAATATAATTTAGCTGAGCAAGCAGGAGAACCCTAGCTAATAACAGATCAAACACTTTTTTCTGTTCTGTGCATTTAGGAGAAACTATATGAGAAATGTTTGATATCATTCACACCGTTACTGTCTTGTTCAGCCTTGACACTTGTAACTACAGTGTGCTCAGTAACATCCTAACTCAAGCACTGGCGCATGTTCTCAGATGAAAAACATCTATTTTGTAAAGTAAGAGACAGATTTTTTTTATTTTTTTTGCAGGATAAACTCACCTGGTCAGATTCGCACTCGCGCATGCAGGTGCTCATAGCATCCACCCACAGGTTGGGGTTCAGGTCATTCGGGCACAGACCTGCGTGGGAATACACCACTTTGGCCACCGACATGGGCATCGGCATCGCTCTCACACGGCAGCTGTCCATGTACAGGAGTAAAGTGTAGCACTGTCCCAGAAGAAACCAAATCCATCGGGGAAACAGCATCCACCACATATCCGGCGCGTAACGGAGCGAAAAGGGCTGAAAATCCAACAAACTTTAAAGCGTCGATAAAATGCCCTTTAAACTATCTTCAGTTAAATTCTGCAACCACCGGAATCAGAAGAAGAAAAAACGAAACGGGCGCTTTCGTGAGCGGTCCCGGTCAGGAGAGCCGTCCAGGTTAGTCGCTCCACGTTAATAGCAGCAAGAGATTAAAGCTGCAGAGTGCAAACCCCCTTAAAGTCCAGCTACATGAATTACAGTGGCCTGTCTGCTCCGACAGCAAATCCCAGCTGAGTTACAGTTATGATCAACTTAATTAAAGAAAAAAAAAAAAAAAGTTCGCCAACAGTTTGCAGCCGCTGTTCGTGGAGGACTGGCGAGACACCTGTGCGTAAAGCGCCGGCTGCCTTAACCCTTAGCTGGCAGCGTCGGCGCAAAGGGGAAGGAGATGTTCAGCAATCAGCTCCAAATTAGATGTGATGAAACTTACTAATCATGCATGAAATAAAACATTTATGTTTGCGCTTGTAAAAATAGGATAGTTCACTTAATGGCACATATAAATAATAATAATAATAAAATAATAAAAGACTTTATCGTGGCACTGTGGCAGCGCTGCTCATCATCATTAACAGGTGAACACTTCAATACATATTTCAGTATTTTAAATGTTTGTTTAATGTGTATTATTTAACAGCACATTATTCTTTGGACGCTTGTATTCTCCTCTTTGTGGCACATTCCTGTGATGACTGTAAACTCTGCGCTGCTGCGCGTCTGAACCACAAGTCAGTCTCCAGCAGATGGCGCCAGATTCAGGGCAGCTTCTCTGGACGTTTGTTAGACATAAACCCTGTTCTGGTTTGACTTTAGCAGTGAAAGTGTAGCAAATAGTGCAAGCTCCTTTTATTCTGCTTGATTTAAATGTACAGGTGGCTGCATTATGTGTATTTCACTTGTTTGTAGCTTTGCAATTCTTTCTCGTTTAAAAAAACTTTTAATAAATAGTTCTTCTTTTCCCATAAAAAAATTCCCTGCCCCACAAAAACCCTGAAACCAAAAGCAGCCAAATCTTTCAGGTAACTATGCTGCTGCACCAGACGGCGGTGCTGAAATAACTGCCTTTTAGATATAATGAGCTCATTTTCTGCCGTATTACCTTTAACAGTTTATCATCTGTTATGACAAGAAATGCAGCTGTTCTCCAATCAGTCGTGCAGTTATAGTGAACTGTGTGGTATCACATTATAAATCATTCAGACTAAACTGACCAAATAAGAACACATGCCTCTCCAGACAGTTTGTCGTATGTGTTAAAACTTATGGGAGTTAAATGAACCACCGCATTTTACAATTTGATAATGACAATGTGTCTGAGTCACAGACTGAAAAATTAAAGCATTAGAATTAAAAATGATCCACAAAATGTTCACTCTGTCTGATTTAAAGCCGTTGCTGGTATCACACAGGACGGACTTTAAGGTCACGCTGCTGTCTGCGGTGGAAGTACTGCAGGCTGCTATCACAATATTGACATGCAAGAAGTCACAAGCAGTACAGAAACCTCGAAATCATGCTGTGAAAAACTGTATTATTCCCCAGAAAGCGATTCCAGGAAGTTCTGCACCAGACGAGGCTTCAAAACAAAACAAAAGGGCCGGTGGTCTGTTTTGGAGAAAAAGGATCTCGCTGGCGTCGCCCAAACACTGACACACACTCCAAGTTTTTGCTAACGCTATAAAGCTGGTCTGTCTTTATCTTTGGATGGACGTTAAACATGTTAATAGCTTTGCTCTGTGTGTGTGTGTGTGTGTGTGTGTGAGTGTGAGTGTGTGAGACGATTTGAGTGCAGTTATGGAGACTGTGCTTCCCAAGCTGAGTCCCTGCTGAGTCCAAAGAGGCCCAGTGCTCTTCTGGCTAAGTCCCAGTCTGGTCCGCTGTCTGTGTCTTTGAGGGCATTTACATACACACCAGCAACACTCGCTCACTTCCAATGTGCATGCGTTCATATTAATACATAGCAAATGTGGCAAACGCTAACCGTCAGCAGGTGATGTGAATTATTTACGAGGATTCGCTTCAAGAAAGTTCCAAAACACTCTTGCACATATCAGCACAATCGCATGCAAATGTGCAAACACAGTCAAGCTGTGTTTTCACTGTCTGCTCACCCGCTCGCCCCCTCAGGCCCTCCACCCCTAACCTTCACCCCTCAAGACCTCGCATTCCCAGCATAGTCGACACTGGGGCTACAGGGCATGTCACATATTGAATAAAGCCACCCGGAGGACCCCATGCGGGGCGCTCCGTCCAGTCGATCTGCAAGTATTGTCTGCAAACAGACCTTGACTTTGACCTCCTCCGTGCACCCTCGCCATGTTTGCGAGCTTTTGCAAATCTCGTGAAGCATTTATTCAGGTTTATTTTCAGCGGCATCGCAATCTGTAGATTGTGTCAACATGAAACTAACAGAGGCAGAGTCATGTTTTTTGTGTATTGGCATCCTGGTCGTGTTGTTCTCAGTAACTGAAGCTGATGCATTTCCAAATCATGAAACAAAAAGAATCAAACATTTCTTGCAACTTTTGGGGATGTTTGACAGAAGAACTGGTCTCGGGTGGTACTTCCTTTTGCCAGTCAGACACAGACATTTCTGATAAAAGAAAACAACGAAGCCCGGTTAAGCATCAGTATCTACATTAGTCCACCACATCTAAATGTGTCAGCACGTGGTTTTTATTTCAAAGAATGCTTTCTATCGTGACTGCATTTCACGGCACCCACTCTACGATTAGTGACAAATAAAATCTCTTCAATCTTCAAACTTCTTTAATCTCATAAATGATCCTGGTGTTTTACTAAAAGGCCACGAGATGCAATGACTCAGTGGTTTTCAAGCAACCAAGAGGCAAAGACGGATACGACAGGAAAGAGACTGACTGCAAGACGAAGACCTGGAAGTGGGTTTTTCAATTTTTCAGTGCCACCTTCATGAAGATACTAGACAAACATTTTGAAGGGAAGTCTTGATAGCACTGATCTGAGGAGGCCGTGATGTATCGGTCTCACAACATACCGCGACATGTTCTTCTAAAACTAATATTTCACCTCCGATATGTTTTGATTTTTACTTCAAAGTGGTCAGAAGTAAATATCGTTTGGTTCCGTTCTTGTTTGTTCAGCACATGATGCCACAAAAGTGCAAACTGTGGCTTTTGCACAGTTTTGATACAACAATTGAAATATGTAAAATTAGTGAGTTATTTAAGTGGTTGTAGCCACATTTTATTGCCTGCAGAGAAACCCAGACTGGATGTTTGATCTTATGCTAACTTTTTACTATCGCTTATCAACCAACTGTTCTGTCAAAGCAGCGACTGGGGAGCTGCATTAGTTTCCTGGTTGGGTTTAGATGATGAAAACAGATTTTTTTTTAGGTTTTAGGAGAATGCACATCTTGTCCAAATGCCTAAACACAACTTTAAAAAGTGCAATAATGCTGTTCTCACTACAGGTGGACACTGTACCAATTGTTTTTTTTTCAAACTTTTTGGTGTTATGCATCTTTGAAAACTGAATCTGTAAGAAGCAGTGCAGTAAGAATTCATCTTTCAAATACTTGCTCCTCTACAAACTCCTCACTTATGGCGCCGATACAAGCGGTGGTTTCCTGACTAACCGTAGACGTATTCCACATAAATCACAAGGTTCAGCTGGGATTTATCCATATGAGCGACTCCTTCCCTGCTGAACTCTGTGAGGCTTTACAGTGTCACAGTATTGGAAATAAGTAGCTCTGCATATTGGCTTTGTGCATTACGCCTGTTAGAGAAGGGCACAAACTGCGCCGAGGGCCTTAGTCCCAGCACATCGGCCGAGGCATGTACCTGCGAGTAACATCGCCTTCTGCCTCCGTTTCTAAAATGCTCTTAGGGGTTCGTCTCCTGCCCGCGACTGAGGCCTGGGAAGCCGGTTCCCAACAATGAAGGTGTTATGACTGTTCATACTAAGCTTATTATGAGTGTCTCGTTCCTGAACAAAGGAGAGAGACACGTCCAGCCACAGCAGGGCCCTAAGCTGATTCCTCGGTCTAGACACATGCCGATGGACAGACATGCAGGCACACAGATGGGCGTCCACTCAGACGTATACATCCCGACATCCATCCGCCGCTTTTGCCCTCCGTTGTTGCACACATGCACGGCTAACTTCCCAAAACACCATTTCTGCTCAGATTATGCAACAGTTGTGCGCTCCGGATGGGAACATCTGGTCACCACATGAACACGATTGTATTCATTTCACTGAAGAGGTTAAGGATTTCACAGATAGCGGAGCACGTCAGCGCGACCATCGCTTAGGTGTTGTTTATGTTCTTTAAATCAGGAGGGGAACATAACAAAATGTCTTGTTGGTTAAGTTCACAACGGAATGTACAACATTGGCTGGCTGTGCAAGTGCAGGTCAAAAGTGAATGGACTGGTTTAAAGCCCACAGCTGGAAGGTGCAGCAGCGCAGAGTTCTGAATCATTCATCATCATAATAATAATGCAACTAATGCGCGGTGATAAACTACCGTCTTCAATTAACAGCTTAGATCCAAACCAGTCACTGGACGTCTGTGTCCAAGTAACTATCGTAGCTTGATGTCTGAGTTTATATCTAATCCATGTAAACAAACTCTGTGTCTCAGCGTGCAGAAAAAATAATGTTAAGCGACATGATGATCACGGCTGCACGGTGGAGCGGTGGATAGCACCGTCGCCTCACAGCAAGAAGGTCGCCGGTGAGGAGACCCGGGATCTTTCTGCGTGGAGTCTCCATGTTCTCCCCGTGCAGCGTGGGTTCTCTCCGGGTTCTCCGGCTTCCTCCCACACAGTCCAGAAACATGCTGAGGTTAATTGGTGATTCTAAATTGTCCGTAGGTGTGAATGTGAGTGTGCTTGGTTGTCTGTCTCTAAGTGTAGCCCTGTGATAGACTGGTTACCTGTCCAGGTGAACCTGCCTTCACCCTGAGTCAGCTGGGATAGACTCCAGCCCCCCACGACCCTGGTGAGGATGAAGGTGTAGAGATGATGGATGGATGTATGGACATGATGATTGTGTGAGACAATTTGTCTACAAAGTTGAATTTTGCTGCATTCTTTGTGTTAACATAGTTATCCCTTGAACCCTCTAAACCCAACAACAGGCTTTGAACGCGTGTATTTTGAAAATAATTCCACCATTAATCAGAGCGAGAAACTGTAAAAACAAAAAACAATCACAGGGTTTTCAACTCGACGTGTCATTCTATCAGGAAGAACCAAATCTGAGCTTAAAATTGTGATATATCATCAAAATTACTTCATTTTGTGTCTTGTTTTTTAAAAAATTTGAGGTTTTTTTGACCAGATTCTGTAAAAACAAACTAGTTATTTGCTCCCCGGTTCATCTGTGACGCCACAAGTGACGGAGCTGCAGCCACATGAGGGGGTTTCTGTTGAACTGCAGGATGTGTTTAGAGCAGATATGAAGTGAAGTACGGAAACGAATTAAAGATGGAAGCAGAAAACTGTACAGTATGTAGAGTGACCTTCTGTGTCCAGTACTGCCAACACCTGGGGAAAAAATGTTGATTTTATTTTTTTATCCTTTTTAAAAATGATTTTAATGTGATTGTTTTTTAAACAAGGTGGCGTCATGCTGCACAAAATATGTCAGAATTCACTTTATAGTGCAATTTAAAACTAGTGGAGAGCGTGTAAAAGTGTGACAGAAGCAAGTAGCACCTAAAAAAGTGGGGTTTACTGTATTAGTTCACAGTAGTTCATATTTATAAAGCTGTTGCATTAACGTGAAGAACTTTGTCAGACGTTTCCACCTGACTGCTGCAGCTGCTGATGTCCGTGTGATTTGTTTTCCCCACAAAATTTAATGTATTTTAATCAAAAAAGTAATAATAATAATAATAAAAAACGAATTTGAAAACTCGAGGCAGAAACATTATTCTGATGTTTATTAGAATCAATCCAAATAAGAGTGTCTGTAACGTCCCACCGACTCTGCTACACTTTCAAACTTCACTTCCTGGAATTCAGTAATGAAACCACCGACGAGGAAGAACCGCCTCCAGGCAGAACACATGAGCGTCAAGGTTCTGTCCGACCTGTGCAACATCAGTACAAGAATGAGCACTGAAGCAGAAATTGTATTTATTAATAATAATAATAGTATTCCATGAGAATCGTCTGTATGTAGAAGATTAGCTTCGTCGATTACTCCCTAAAGTGCTGCACTTAAAATATGAGACACACAGGAAGGACGAGGACATAGAAAGACTGGTGAAAGTCAATAGAAAGACACCACGGGCCGGTTTCTAAACAGACCCAAATGAATTCAGAACAAAAAACTACCCACTTATCATCCCCAAAAGTACTCTCTTGTAGTGCAGAATGTGGCTCGCTTGATGCCAATGTTTGCTCATGTGCTCCCTCTAGCGGCCGCTCACCGGAACGTCGCACACAAACCTGCGACAGAAGCAACACGGTACAACGTGGATCGACCAAAAAGATGGAGAGAAAAAAAATAAATCAAGTAATTTACCATGCTTTTATCAAAGAACAGATTCAGGTCGTCTCCAGAACAGAAAAAAAAAAAAACAATTTGAACACTGCCTAAGATTATTTCTACGAGTACACAGAACGTACTGTATATAAAAATATCAGACTCTGAATGCATAGGTTAAGTCAAACTGTATTCTGCTTTTTCTAGAACAATAAGCAACCCAACAAACACAATGTTAGTCGTCCTCCTTCCACAGAATCAAACCAGATCCTAGAGAAACCAACCGGTGCCGTCGGTGGCCCGGGCACCGCCTGGCCGGAGGGGTTGTCGTCCCCCGAGCTCCTGCCTCGCACATGTGGCACGACGTCACTTAATAAAGCGTTTAACATGAACGTAAAGTAAGCACTCTTGGTAGTCCTTTCTACACATCCTCCTCCCCTCGCATTGCACTTCTCGTCGAACCCTCTGGCGCGATAGTAGACTTTTTTCTTCTGTTGTTTTTTTTTTTTTTTCTCTTTTGACACAAACACAACAGGCCTAGCTGGTTAAAAATATATACAAATTAATAAAAAATATATCATAAAACATACAAATACAGTAAGAGCTTCAGGTATACATTTTGAACAGTAAACAGTTACCACTGGGTTGAGAAACTTTTGATTGTAGGACACGCGTGGCGTCCCGACTGTTTAGAACAAATGAGCCCCAGCATCGAAAGGAATAGTACGTGATGATGAAAGCAGCATAAACATCAGCATCGCAGTCTTTATGATGTACTTTGTCGTTAGTGTTAATACTCGTCTTGTCCGTGCAGTCTCCGAACAGGAAACACCGACAAAACTCAAACAGTAAATATAAACTCTACACTGGCCTTTGCTCACCGTGAAGCCCTGCATCGATGTTCTGTGTCGTCTTCAGTTGTTAAATTAAGGAGGAAAAAAAGTCCAGTCACCAGACAGCAGGTTTAAACTGAGGTGACAGCGCAACAGAGAAAAAGATATCCTTTGTGTGAATGTTGGAGGAAGAAGGAAGCACAAAATGATAAAACTCCTTTTCCATCTCTTGTTTTCTTTTCTCTTATTTTGAGGCAATAAAACAAAAAAACAAAACCCTAACGAGGCTGCATCTTTTCTGAAGCAGTGATAGTTTGTTCTGCAGTTAGTATCTTTGCTGGCTAGATTAGTTTTTGGTTTTGATTCTAATCACAGTTAAAACACGACGACAGAGAACCGAAAACCTACGAGACAAACCCAGTGGGAGCCTCGTACGCGACCTTCGCCGGGACTCGAGCCTCGTCTCCCTAAAACCCGACGCGCGTTCTCGCTTCCGTTAGTAAGAAATCAACGTTAAATTAAATATGACTACTTCACAGTTGACAGTTTAGGTGTTCTGCTGACTCAGCAGAACGACACGTCCTGCAAAGCAGAAGTGATTATGCATCGTAAAGTAAAATAAGAATAAAATCGTCCTGCTTCAAGTTGTTGCACTTCTATCTCTATTATGTAAATTAAGTTGTTTTTTTTGTCTCACATGAAAGAACACAAAAGACAGACAGCTACCCCAAGTAATTACCCCTTTACCACAGTGTATGACTGAATGATTTCAATACGTAGGGAAACGAGTGCTTCTCCTCCAATGTGTCCTTCCTTGTGGGGATACAGGTTCAAGCATTGTTGTAAGTGGTCAGCCAATGAAAGATCCCTAAACCTCACCTGGTGTGAGATTCGCTCCGCCTTAACAATTGGGCCAATAACGGACACCGTCTGCAGGAAAGACACTCAGGTTTATGCCTACAGCATGTATGAAAGTGTGAACACAAGCGAGAAGATCTGATGTAGGTCAGTTTGCTAGAAATCCGAGTTGCTGTGTGCAAGTCCGCTGTGCTGCGTCTTCAGTCCTGTTCCCTGGACTGAAAACGATCGCATCAGTTATGAAATCCTTCCCGTCGTCCTCTGCTCCCGGTCGTCTCGGACCGTGTTCCTCCCGTGACCAAAGTCCACAGCCGGTATAGAAACGTGTCCATATAAGGCTATTGCAGAATCCCGTTCAAGTCCAGCCCATAAGGAAGACAAGCCAACGTCCCCCCTCTGTTGTCCCACCGGAGCCTTTGGCACAAAGTGCAGTGGGAGGAGAGAAAGAGATAAAGAGAGGAGAGAGGGGCCCAAATACTTTCGCACATAATCGAGGACACCATGCATCAGTAATCGCTTAGAACTGGTTGGGTACACTAAAGCGGCAGGAGGGCCAGAGGAGGACAGGAGGAGGACAATAGCTACAGTTGAAAAAACAAATCCCAGTTAGGAAATTGGCAAAACACCAAAGCCGAACAAAGCTGGAACAGGGGACCTGGGCAGGCAACTGGTTACGGTTGCTCGAGGGTAGCTACAGAAGCCCATCGTAAGCGGGGAGACCTCAGGCTGTGGTGGCAGCTCTAGTACGTGAGGCGAGAGGCCTTCATGTTGTAGCAGGGTCTGTCTGTTAAGCCCCCCGCCCCGGAGAAGAGGGACAGGCCTTCTGCCTTCTCCAACACGACCTCCAGCTCCTGAAAGTCCTGCAGTCGAGCCACGTCCTTGTCCTGGACAGAAGGGGGAGATCCCATTTCCATCAACAACAAATCCTTCAACTGATCAATCACTTTAGGAAACAGTAAAGAAAGCGCCGTTCGAAGTGATCAACTACACATGGAAGAGCATCACGCAAACTCAGTCTGGCTCTACTGGTAGGATTGAGTGCGAAAACAAAGACAAAGCAAGATCAAGGGTTATGAGCGACATGATTAGTCATTTCAAAAGAAAATCGTACACCAACGATTACTATAATTACTGATTAAATACACACAGACTCACTGTATCATCGTGTCGCTTTGAGAAATTGCAATGTGACATTTTAAAAACTAAACAACGGATAAAAAAAAAAAAAAAAAAATTTAGCCTAATTTTCCAAAATAAAAATAACCCATTAGCTGCAGCCCGAAACCAAAAAGAATCCAGCGAGCTGCAATTATGCTCAATTCGACCAGACAGGACACTTGTCATTATGTGGACACCAAACACAGAGTGCACACGGGGCTTCAATGGAAAGTTAAAGTGACTCACAAACAACCTCATTAGAGAGTCGCGGTGTCACTTGTGTGAGTCACACAGAGACGGAGGCAGAGAGGAGTTAATGTGTTTGAACGTATTTCAAACAGAACAGGACAGGTGGCGTTTCTCACTTCAGCTCACTTTGGCCACGAGTTCTCTTAAACATGCGGTTCAGACTCGTGCTGCTCTCTGCTCTCCGAATGAGTGCAACAAAAGGAGCTGGAGACAGCAAACAATGCTTGGAGCAGACGAGACGTCATCTTTTGCTATTCGAAAAGACTTTTTTTTTTAAATTCAGGTGTCTAAATATAGGTTTTTTAAAGTTTCACACTGCAGGACGGATGATATTGATGCTCTAAGCTGTTAAATTACAGTCCCCAGAATGACTTAGAGGGTGTAAATATGGGAAATAGAACTTTTTGTGGAGTGCAGCTGTAGATGACAACTTTTGAATTTAAATGAGATATGAGCAGTTTGTGATGTGCACACAGCTGTCAGTGGATGACTTTAATGCTGGAGAAAACAGAAAAGGTGATGATTCTCAGATGAGCTAGCATCTTTTTTATTTTTTTTTTAATAGAATTTTTTATCAGATTCAAGGAAGTTATATAATAAAATACATAATCTATCTTCACAGAGTCACACTGAATCAAAAAAATAATGTCAGTCCTGTCTGTGTCCTCACATTTGAATTATGACTCAGGAAAATTTTGGCACAAAGGCCTTTCGAGTAGCTTCAGGGCTTCTCAACCCACCGTTTGAAAACCTCTTATCCAAATTAATACCCAGACAAGACACAGAAAGTGATCCTGAGTGGATAAACTTGCTGGAAACGTTTTGATTGCATACATCACACACGGTCCTGAGGAACCCTGTGCGCTCATGACGACATCATCAACCTACGTAGGGTCTGTGAGCTTCTGCGTACCTTTCTTAACATGGTGTTGGGCAGCTTGCGGATCTTCTCCACGTGCTCGGCGCTGATGTCCAGCTCGCGGCAGCAGACTCTCAGGAGGGAGCGATAGGTGAGCTCCTGGCGGTCCAACTCCACCTCGATGAAGTCGTTCTCTCGCGCGTTGGGGTTCTGAATGCGCACCTTCAGCACCAGCTCTGCAGAAAGCGACCAGAGTGACACCTCTCCGTTAACAACATGTTTATAATGAGGCTGATGAGCATACCTGTTTACTTCTTATGAAAGCACACTTATAAAGACAACATGCTGCTTTGTGTGGGAATTGTAAGGATGTTCTTGTCTCTGCTATTCAACCCGTGACACTTCAGGCTAAACAATGAGCAACACCACATCCACTCAGAAAGCTTTCTGGTTTGACGAGTTGGATTCCACCGCACAGACCAAGTGAGATTGTTGTCATGCCAATGTTCTCATATACTGCTGACCCGAGAACACAACCTACGTAACCAGGACAAATCAAAAGCCAGCACTCCCAGATTTCACCTCTGCTCACACTGAACGGATCAAAGTAGTTGGCTCGTTCCTGCCTCCATTGAGCCTGAAGCTTGCGGGCATTTCGTCGCGTGCAGTAACTTAATGGGTCTTCGCTAGTTGCCTGGCAACCTCAAAGCAATGAAGGAAGTCGCTGCTCCCAGCCAAGAGGTGCTTCGAGCACAAAACTCCCCATTAAACCACAAGTTGTTGCTCTTAAGTGTTGTTTCAGTGTAATGTTACAAACAAGATGTACATAACTGCATATTTTGTCAATTAGTAAAGTAAACAGACCATGAGCCTTTAAACTGAGCCTTATTCTTGTTTCTTCCTGCTTATTGTGTTATAATAAGCCGTGTGTTGGTGTATAAATCAGAGGAAACTCACCTTGTACGTTGACAGGGAAGGTGCTGGTGAAGAAGAACGGCTGGAAGGCTGGCATGGGCCCACCAGCCTGGCTGTAGCTCAGCTGCTGCGGGATAGACTGCTGCCTGCTCACAGTCGGGTTGGTGCTGGCCACCGGGGCTTGGACCTGGCTCCCGCCGTTGCTAGCCAAGCTGGGGCTGGGCGAGGCCAACGGGGGAGAACACATGGTGCCGTTGTGTGCCACTGCATGCGGGTAGTCGGCGTGGTTGACGAGGTGAGGCTCGACCGACAGGTCCATGGGCACCGTGCAGTTGACCACGGTGTGATTGTGGGACGAGGCCGAGCTCGGTGAGACGCCGTTTTGCTCAGCCACAGGGATAAACTCCCCAGCTTGGGCTGGACTGTGGTTGACGGTGGGGTTTGGTGGAGGAGTGGAGCTGTCGGAGACCAGGCTCTGTGACTTCTGAGGCTCATGCGTCGGGGAAAGAGAGGCGGAATCGCTCTGTGTGTCGTCAGCATGTTCTCCAGAACCGTTTTGTGTAAGGTGCTGGGTAAGGATGATGTCTGACTTGTTGTCCATCTTGGAATACATGAAGGGCGGGTTAGACAGGTAGCTGGGGATGATTGGCAGCTCCGGCTCCTTGACTTCAGGCACTTCCTCCACCTCGACTGTGGCAATTATGTGCATTTCAAAAAAGAGGATTATTTCAGTAACACATACAGCTTTCGTGTCAAAACAAACACCTGCAGATACAAATAGACCAACAGCAGAGCATGCTAATGTAACACACAACATCAGGGATACACCGCCTGCTGCTAGCAACTGAACAGTACAATGATGTGACATACGTACCTCCTAACAGTCGTTTGATCTCTGGTTTGGATGTGAGCTGTGATGCCAGCTCATCCTTAGCCGTGAGGATTTCTTTGTCCGCTCCACAACTGAGTAAGTAGGACACTATCTGCTTATGGTTCCTCTTGCATGCCCAGTGCAGGCACGTCCTGATGGGATTAATGGGAGAGAGAACACAGTTTAATGAGCTGGTAAAATAACTATAACGGAGATCACTGGGAGTGACATTTACATGGTGCCACCTGTCATCAAACAGAACTAGGAAGTCGGGAATCGTACACCATCTGAACAGCACCTGAGCTTGTGTGTGAGGTTCATATGAGTCCAATTTGGGCAGATCGCAAATAATATTTATCGGTACAAGCAAAGATGTGGCAGCCGTGTTGCATAGTAGCATGAACATGATGGAATAGTGTGTTTTTAGCCAATAATTAAAGGCGATCTTAACTTTGTGAGATGATATTCAAATCAATTAACTATGAAAATGTGTCACATCATAACTCAGTTTACTCCAATGTCACAGGTCTTATCTGCTGTTTTACGATGCCCAGTAAAATGCAGGTGTACAAACTTCAAACCTCCCAAGTAAAACAGTTAACAGGGCATTTAAATGCGGTTTGGATAAGCGAGATAAAAGTGCAGCCTGATTAACGAGCCCTGCTGCCACGCGTAATAGGATCACCGCCTCTAATCCCCGCTGCATCGCACTCGGCTGCACCGAACTTCTGAATTTGTCAACACGAACGGACTGGAAATAAAAAAAAAAAACTGCGAGAAAGACACTCACCATCCATTGATTTCGTTCTGGGAATTCACATTCACCCCGCTCTCCACTAACGTCCGCACTTCGTCGATGTCCCCGATGGCAGACGCCTCTCTCAGTCGCTCCTGTAATTCTTTATCCAACGAAGTCGTGGACATTTTGGTTCCGACAACTAGCGACGCGAGATCATAGGATACACAAAGGCCCGGCTGAACAAGTTGCCACTACTGTCCACGCAGCAATCCCCCTCCTCGCTAACGGCACACAGGTCCACCGGAGACAAGACTTGTCAGCTAGCATTAGCTACCCGGCTAACCGTACCCAGTGGCTAGCTTACCGCGGCGCTAGCTTGTGGCCGCGAATCGGCTCCGGCTGATATGTGACTCCGGTGTTTTTTTGGCGTTTAGGGCGGCAGGTTCCGCGTTATTCCTGCCGTCTAGTTCACGTTACGGTGCCGCTGCCAGCACCCGGTGCACTCATTCAATCAGTCAGCGGTGTCAGAGATCCGTCGGTGTGCTGCCAAAAAACACCACCGCCTCGTCGGGAGGAGGTGGAGGGAGGGGGGGCATCTTTAGATGTGACAACCGTGAGCGCAAACGTTGGTTCCCCTCTGAATTCTCCCGCTTTGTCCGCGCGTTGTTTTTGCCACTTAACCTCGTGTAAAAACAAATAAATTAAAACTGTGTCATTATCCACTGTCAGGTTATTTAAGTAAATTACTCTGAGAAATAAAAAGTTGAGAGTGCTGTTATTAACTCACACGTGTTGCAGTGATATCAGCGTTACACTCATGCTCCCTCCAGCAAGTTATTATAGCGGTTCATTAATTATTTCAATTTGAATTTTATTTGCAATATTCACCACAATAGTGTTGCACATAGTTGTTTTTACTAACGTGCTAATTTCATCGTTAAATAGCCACTATTTTTTAATTCGCTGTGCTGCAGTTCGTCATTGTGACCACTGGGGGGCAGCGAACACTCATGGCAGGATGGTGCAAACTTAAAAATTGAAATGTCCACACACGTACAACAATTTTTTAAATAAGCATAACATTTAATGAAACAAGCTACTACTAAAACATTGATTAGCATGCCCTGGGTGATTGACAATCTGCAGAGACAATGAGGAGTGTTGATAAGATGTATTATTAATCAATACAATATCTTCCTTTACACATGTATGAATGACTTTAGTGGCTTAAAGTGTCCGGCAACAAAAAAAATTTGCATTAAAACTCCAATAAGACAGACATTAGCAGTGTAAAATAACCTTAGTTCAAATATAAAAATGGTTGTCCTTGGTGACACCTCTAAATCCATTTAAATACCTGCATAGGAATGTAGAAAGAATGCAAGGCAAGTGCTTAATCAGAAGGCAACTGGGCTTCTTCTTTGGTTCATAAAGATGTTTAATGTCTTATCTAAGAGGCTTCGTCTGTTCTAACAGACTGAGAGTCTCAGGTGGTTCACATGGCCTCTGGCCTGTTAACAACCCGAGACCCGCATGTCTGGAAGTGTGAATGGTCGTAAAACTGTCTTGAGATGACTCATGGTGTAAATGTCGGCAGGGTATCAAGATTCTGTCATAAGTACCTGATAAGTGGTGTTGAAGATCATCTCCTCTTGATAGATATTGCTGCTCCCATCTAACGCTTTCTTAACGTCTTCCTTCTCTCTTTCCTATCCAGACTGCGGACGTTACTAAAGCCTTAAAAAGTCTGTGCCCTCCTCATTGCATTGGACTGCATATGCAACCCTGCTCAGCTTGTGTTTGGATGTTTCGTACAAAGAGGGAACCTTTTTTTTGTGTCTTAGTGTTTCTGGTTCTGAAATGCATCAGAAAATGATTCAGGTTTCTGGTAAACTTCAGTGTTGAGACTTTCACCGTCTTCAACGTGTACGACACCTTACAATAAATAAGGTTTATTTTCCCTGACATCTTACCGTGTGAACTTGTCTGCCCTGAGTTGATGTGTTCTGTGAAGGCTTCATGGCTTCATGCATGTGTTGGTTACCATGTATGAGGCTGTGTATAGCTTTCTGGAGAAGAATTAGCCTATTAAAGGATTTGTGAATTAGTATTAAAGGAATGACAGAGAGGGGAAGAGAAGGTGGAGGGTTGCCACATTGCCTATTGTACGCACTGTTTCTATAACTTCAGCTGAACTTAGTCGGAACGTTGCTGTCACTTTTAGACCTTACCCACCTGGACCTGTGATACTTTCTATTAAACTTCTCCAAACCCATGGATCCAGTGAGTTGGTGGAAAATGACTCAATGAAACTGATATAAGGTACTGTTGTCAATATAATAGTTCAGTGGGGTAATCTGCCATTGCATTTAGCTGTTGAGTTTGCAGAGAATCAGCCTCACACATTTAGGGAAACTGTGCAGCAGATGAACATGCAGGTGATTAAGTCAACCAGCAAGTATGAAACTTAATGCGATGCAGTGATGTGGGCCTTAAGGAGAAGGTGGGACTGGGGTGTAAAGTCTGATTCTAACTGAGAGCCAAGAGATCCAAAGAGTTTGAAGGGTAACAAATCACAGGTTATGGACTTGTCACACCACATATGAAACAACACTGCAATAAACTCACTTGTGGATACAACTGACGCAGTCGGGTCTCAGTACGACCAAGGATCAAGGCTACCATCAGTCCCCAGTGGATTGAAAATAAGGACGTGACTAAAACAAAACAAACGAAAGAGACAAAACAATGAAAACACACCCTCAGGTCTTTTCACAGGCCATTCAAGGTCTTACATGTTACAAGCAGGAGACGGTGTTATATGCATGCAAATATGCAATTCATAATTAGACAAATTATTAAACATTTCCAACACAAAATATAAACTATTCTAATATGTGTAATCTCAAACCACTATGAACTTGGCCTGCATTATTCTTTAAATACCTGCTACACTGACATCTCTCATGCACGACAGCAAAGCAAACTCCTAAGCAAAAGTTGCGTAATGTCCAAAGGCTTAAAACCTGCATAAAATTCCATGAAACAAACTTTTACAAAAACGTCAGATATGATCACCACGGCCTGGATGATTTGCAGTATGCACAGGCAATGAGGAGTACTGACAGGATGTATTATTAAATATTACTTCCTAAACACTTGCAAGAATGACTTTAATGGATTAAAACAGTCTCCACAACAAAACTCTTGCATTAGAACACCCAAAAATTATTACAGAAATGTTCAAGACTTGTGATACACGCTATTATTTGTAAAAAAAAAAAAAAAAAAAAGTTATACAGAAGAAAAGTAGGAAGTCTTGGATGCTTTAAGACCTGTTATTATGCATTTATTAAATATTATAAAAATATGTGTGGTCTATATAAACCCCTCCACGGATGTTCTGACCTCCAGTTCTACTTCCGGGTCAGCGGCCGATGGTTGTTCAGTCCACGGGCGTTGTTGTACAGCGTCTGCCATTTTGATTAGAAGTACTTTGCGCAGTAGATGGTCTAAACTGGCTCTCCGGGATAGACAGTAGTACTTTTAATCAAGGCCACACTCCTGTAGGCAAAATGCTCTCCGCAGCCCAGTTGCTCGACGAGTTAATGGGCCGAGACAGAAACTTGGCCCCTGACGAGAAGCGATCCAACGTGCGCTGGGACGACGAGAGCGTAAGTTAGCATCCTGGCTAACGGTTAGCCTAGCTAGTTTGAGATGCTAACTCGGTTTTTAGCTACACACGGTGTCCAAAATCACAGCATATGAGGGGTGTAGGAGTTACATGGAGCAAGGCGTCTGTCGTCACTATAGGTTCAATCGGTCATGCACGAAATTGGCGGCATAGCTGGACACTGCGAGTGGCGCCTGGACACGCGTGCTAGCAAAAGTAGCATGGGAGTTTGCTAATGCTAAAGATGTTTCAGTGGCTCACAACGAGGCTTCTTAGCGCTTTCCCAACTGATGCAGGAGCCAATTAGAGGGGAATTTATTGATTTTAACAGTACACCCTGCTTTGGCTTTGATTTGTGGATGGAATGTGAGTTATAATAAAGGACATATTAGCCAGGCTCATGTGCTTCCAGTTAGTCTTAAGTTACTCAAAGATTTTCAAAAAGATGTCTGCTTTCTTTTTCAAGGTTTGTCGATACTATTTGTGTGGCTTCTGTCCAGCCGAGTTATTCACAAACACCCGCTCTGACTTGGGTAAGTCAAGACCTTAAAGGTGTATAAATGTGGAGGATAAATATGTAATTATATATTACTGCAATAATTCATGAGTCAACACAATCACAAACGTTTCATCATGTGTCCGTGTAGTTGCGGTCTCTCTCTTTTGTGAAGTGAAAGTGAATAAAAACCACCCAACTACAGTAGAAAATAGATTTTAAAAAGTTATATTTAAGGGTAGTGAAATGTTTTGATTGTTTTCCAGGTCCCTGTGAGAAAATCCACGATGAAAATCTTAGAAAAACGTAAGTTGTCACTGTGGTTACACACGTTATTTCTTCATGTTTTGATATTTCCGTCTTACAAACTGTTTATGTGTCGTTGCACCCAGGTATGAGAAAAGCTCCCGGTTCATGAAGGAGGGCTATGAGCGAGACTTCCTGCGCTATCTGCAGTCGCTCCTGGCAGAAGTGGAAAGACGCATTCGTAGAGGACATGCCCGGCTCGCGCTCTCTCAGGCTCAGCAGAATGCAGGGGTTGGTGCTTTGAGTTCTGGTGACATTATTGTGTACACAAACTCTTTGTGCCGCTTGCTCAGTCCATCTTTCGTCTTTGTCTACTGTGGAAATCTTGAAACTAAAAGACGAAGTGTTTGTATTTCAGCAGGGTCCTGGCCCGTCAGGAAAGAATGAGGAGAAGATCCAGGTTCTAACGGAGAAGATTGAAGACCTCGTTGTACAGGTTTGTAACAAATATTTGAAAATAAGCTGATGGGCTTTTTTGAAAGAAAGAGTATTACATCAGTAGCTTTGTTAGATTAGAAGGTACGGTGAAAAGGACACGCTGGTATGTGAATAAATGTCACATGCTGCTGTCAGGTTGGTTAACAGGTGGACTTACTATGAACATCCATTTGTTTTTAAAGTTAAATCAATTTAAAATGCGCTTTGAAACATGTTTCCTATAGACATTTCAGTACCCTGGGTGCTATTTCATTGCTACGTGATGCTTTTGCTTTTACTCAGATTGAGGAATTGGGATCCGAAGGCCGAGTGGAGGAGGCCCAGGGAATGATGAAGCTGGTGGAGCAGCTGAAGGAGGAGAGGGAGCTGCTCAGCTCCACCCCCTCGGTGAGTCACATAACTCCAGGCTAATCGGCCTACAATAATGCTCAAGATAGCATTACATGAGCAGCACCTACTATCTGTTGACAGTCATAAGTTTTAATCTATTACACACGAAAAACATTAAATTAAAACTAAACTGGCTATCGTCGCTAGCTGGTTATTCTTTCCTAGAGCTGACAGATGAAAAAAGTCCTGTGTGCAAGCAGATCTGAATCTGAAATGTATTCCTTACAGTATTGTTTTTTATATAATCCATACTAAATGTGTACTCTTTATCCAGACCATCGAGAGCTTCGCAGCCCAGGAGAAACAGATGGAGGTGTGCGAGGTGTGTGGGGCCTTCCTCATCGTGGGTGACGCACAGTCCCGAGTGGACGACCACTTGATGGGAAAGCAGCACATGGGCTACGCCAAAATCAAATCCACTGTAGAGGAGCTCAAGGTAACCAGATGTGTGTTTCTGTGTTACGAGATGCACGGGTTGTGGAGCTAACAAGAGACAGAAAAATGAGCCTGTTTGGTTGTTTTAGACAGAATTGTGTCACATATTTGCTCTTGTTTACGATTTTTTTAATATGATGACTAATGTTTGTTTACTCTCAGGAAAAACTGCGGCGCCGTTCCGAGGACCCCCAAGGCGAAAACCCAGCACTCAGACGGGACAGAGAAGACCGCGAGCGCGAGAGAGAGGAAAGGGAGAAGAAGCGCAAAGAGGAGGAGGAGAAGGAGAAAGAACGAGAGAAGGAACGGGAGAAGGAGAGGGAACGTGAGAGGGAGCGCGAGCGCGAGAGGGAGAGAGACAGAGAACGGGACCGAGACAGAGATCGAGACCGGGAGAGGGACAGGAGGGCACGCCGGAGCCACTCCAACAGCCGCCACTCCAGTCGGGCATCAGACAGGAAACGGAGCAGATCCCGTGATCGCCGGAGGTCCAGGAGCAGAGATAAGGACAGAGAGAGGGACCGAAAACGCAGCAGGTATGCTGGACTCTCTGGAAACACACGTTAAGTCTTTTTCATTTTAAAAAACAGAGGAAAGTCCCCATCGCTTCATGTGGCCTGTCAGTCAGGACAGACTGAAGTTTTCTGCCCATCTGCCAACTGCAGCTAAATTGTAGAAATCAGTGTCCCAAGAATACATTCAGTCAGTCAAGACCTGCATTATTACACCACAAGCAACCGGTGTGTGTGAGCTTTAACACCTCCAGAGTCACCATTCTGGGTTCAGAAACCATTTTAATCCTCAGCAACACATCAGTAAACATTCTAGTTTGACCTTCATGTTGTTTTTTTTATTTTGCTCATCACCTGTTCTTTGATACAGCGAGTTAAGCCTGTTATCTGCTTGTGATTGCAACAGAACACTGCAGGATTACATTTGTTGACTGTGCTGTGTGAAACTGAAACCTGCTTGCGTGTATCACAGATTTGTTAAAATTACCGGGTACATCTAACTTACTGCTGACAGCACTAATTAAAACCATGAATGCGATCAAAACTTCCCTTCACTGCCCTAATGGTACCTTTGCTCCATTTGTTTGACATTTTAAATACTGGGTCTCCTGTTTTGAGGACACAAATATTTCTGCGTATTTAGTGAAATGCACAGCAGCTGGTGGCACCCTCAGGTGCACAGAAAACCCTCGTTAAGCATGTTGGAACCATGCATTATAAATGAGCACCACTTGAGCATGCAAGTGCACAAATATGAGTAAATGTCTTCATACAAAATCCTTCTACTGATATAAAAACTCACTCTCCGTTCTTCCTACAGGAGTCGGGACAGGGAGAGGCGGCGCAGTCGTGACCGCTCCGACAGAAAGCGTCGCTCACGCAGTCGTGACAGGAGAAGGTCGCGCAGCTCGGAGCGCAAGTCTCACCGCCACCGCAGCCGTAGTCGCAGCAAGGACAGGGACAGAGACAGAGAACGGTCGTCGAAAGACAAAGGTGAGGACTTCTTTTTTGTCTGCTTTGAATATGCTTCAATTTGTAGTCATCACCTTCCAATGGCAGATGCTAGCTATTCAAAACACACTCGGGGACAGCGTGTACTTATGATTGGCTGACTAACCACCTGTTCAGAGTGTTATGGACAGTCCAGCCTCTAGTTCTGACCATGTGGCTGTTCTGCTGGATGCTAATCCGCTATGAGAACGGACAGCATGAATGATGCATGTAATGTGTTCTCAGACCGTAAGGCGACAGAGGAGAGGAGCAGCTCTAAGAAAGACAAGCACTCTGACGGTGATGCAGCTGCCATCAAGGCTTCGTCAGAAGTGGAACCGATGCAGACGGAGGCGGCTGCCTCCTCCCCTCTGCTTAACGGCCAGCAAGAGCTCCTCCATTCTGAAGGTGACACTCAGTCCAATTAAAACTGATCTGATAGGACCTCAGATCAGGCTCAGGTAAGTGCGCCCTCCTCCTCGCTACCCCCTGGCTCTCAACCCAACCCTCCACCCTCTCACGTCCCACCTCTCCCATCTCCCCTTACCCACCCTCTCACCCCTCCTCTCCCACCCTGTTTATGTTCAGTTCAATGCCTTTGATTTTGTCTTATGTACTCTATGCAAATATCTTTATCCTGTTTTTGAATAGTGCATCATAAGTATGCACTGAAGATGAAGGACTAGGCCCGATGAGTGAGAAGAAGGTAGAAAACATTCACACAAAGCCAAGAGGGAAAGGCCAGTGTAGCCCTGAGCAAACATGCCCGGAGGTACCCCTCGTTTTGTATCGGTTTTTGATCCTTATAGATGTATTTTTGTCTTTGTGGACAAAATGCCAGAAAAAAAAAGAAAAAAAAACTAATCCAATCGAAACTTCCTACCTGTATTTACCTGTTTTTATTTTATTTTTATTTATTTATATATATTTTTTTACTTTGAAGGAGGAAAATGTAATTATTGCTGTTTGTTGAGCTATCACATTCCATATAGGGAGGAAATCAGTCACTGTATCTACATGTTTATATATATCTTGGGGATTTCTCCTGCTCATATGTAAGCACACAGACACGTACATTTAGCCTTTCGTTTAAAGGTATATGTGACAAACAAGCCATTTATTTTGCCAAAATTATAACTCATATGCAATGGATTTGTTGTCCAGCTTACTGTGCCTGATCATGCCATGCAGTGTGTGTTTGGGGGGTGTCATAGCACCGGGGGCCTAACGTAACTAACTAACTGGAGGGTAGGGTTTATCGAATGAATTACAGCTGACTTCCATACCTCACACAGCGTTGGTGTTGTGAGCGAGACCCACATGAGAAAAGGGCAAATTAAAAATCATGGATACTCTCTGACTGTCAAACTGTGCAGGTACTCACCCCAGGTACTCCTTTCTCTACCCACATCCATTTCTGAATACTGTTGCCTGTCAGAAAAGAAAAAAAAAACAAAACTATTTTGTACTTCTCCAGTACATGAACTTGAAATATTGACTGTGTATATATTTTTTTTAAATTGTGTTTTCTTGGTTTGTGTATTTTGTTAACTTTCAAGATATGTTTGTGAATAAAGTCGTTTTAAATAAATGGCACGAGACGAGGCGCTCAGGCAGCCTGACTGATATACCTATGCCAGCAGCTGAAACTGTCACTGACGTGTGTGTGTGTGTGCAAATAGCATTTTGTTCAGGGCTAAAGTGCTGTTTGGCTATTTCACATCACATTTGATCCGTTGGATGTAGAAACCTTAACCGGACACCAAATGTGCTGCCAGAACGTGTCGGTGCGTTTTCAGTTTGGCAAAGGGAATATCAAGTAGTTTTGTCTCTCAGTTTAGATTTAGACTGGATGTAGCTTGTGGAGTTTCTTTAGGTGCAAACTTCTAATCAAATGTAATGTAATGTACCTAAAGTATTTTATCTGGACAAATGCAGACTTCACATTTGCATAGTTTTGTGCAGTATTACCAAAGCGGTCTACACTTTCCTCTGAGACTAAATTGAGGGATGCATTAGTGAAGGACTGTAGACGATGTTGTTGCTCGAGTAGCAGCGGTCGCTGCTACAAGCGCGTGTTGTGGGACCTTTGCTAACATTGCATTCTGTGGACGTTTTTGCTCGACAGGGGAAGCTGGGATATTCTGGTGGAGGAAGAAGCGGAAGAGCGCACCCATCCTTACCCTGAACCTGACACCTCGCTGCTTAAAAACAAGGTGAACCACAAATGCGTAGTGGCTTATTTAAAAACATGAACATAAAGTACACATGTCAATGGGGAGAGAGGAAAAAAAAAAAAGAAAATTTCACTGATTTTTTTTCTTGTTCCATCACCTGTCTTATGTTTTGGTTGGTTGAGGGTAGTTGTGGTTCATCTGATGTTCATCTGATTTGTTGGTCTAGATGTCGGCTCAGACGTCACTTTAAATACCAAACTTAGAGAAGTTCTTTATGGGTTTTTGTTTTTCTTATTTTTTGAAAATCTCCTTTCTTGACATTTAGTGAAAATGAAATAAAAAAAGTCAGTGCTTGTGGTCTGTATTGGTTTGTCAGGTTCTACTTCACCTCCTGAGCCCCCCACCCCCTTTTTTAAGAAGTCAGTTGAAAGCGTATGTACAATGTTAGACCCTTGACAGCGAGTGTCTCTTTTCTCCTCCACTTAGAGCTCACATTGATCGCTCTTGTCCGGTTACTGTAAAATATTCTGATTTAATTTTGAACAAAAGATTTTGAAGACTGAAGATTTGTTTAACTTTTGCCCTGATTTTAATGTCCTTGTTGTCATGATGAATAAAAAGTAAAAACTTGTCACCGTGTTGTTCCATCATTTAAAGTTGAACAGATGTCTTTAGTTTTACTGAAGCAAAAATCAACTGACAGTTACATGAAGACGGAGGGTTTTGGTGCCAGACAGCAGATATGTATGGCGTTGGATTTATCTTCTATCTTCTACAGAAGCAGATTTCCTGAGTTAGCAGCTTTGCAGAGTAAAATCTGAACGGTTTGTAAGGAAATGTGAAAAGAGCTGCCTGTACAGTCGGTGAAAGGCTTCTGTAAACTCCTTTAAACGGCCTCATTCATCTCGCCGTGTTCGTCGGCGCCATTCAAACCCTTCGCAGCTGCGTATGCACGCCGTGTTCTGCCCCATTTTCATAACGCCACACTTTCAAGCCGCTCTGTGGATCTGGAAGTCCCACCTTTTGTATCACATTTGCATCCCTGTGGGCTGCAGACCCCATCCGTCCAGCCCGTGCATCGCCCGGCGCTCTCTGAACACGCATTGTAATCCAAAGCGGTGCGATTGCTGCTCGGCTCCTGCGATCAATAGAGAACAGACTGTACAAGTATTCAGGTGCTGCCAACCCAGCAAGAAAGGCGCGGCTGCAAATGTAAAAATACACCCTGGACGAAAGCCACCTGCCTCGAATAAAGTAATTGAAGCTTTGCATTGATCGGTAATGGCAACCGCTTCCTGCTCATTCGTGTTTGGCAGTGAGACAAGTGTGACTTTAAAGAATACCAAAGCAATAATACTTCACATGTCTACTTCTTAATTATGGATCCTAGCTTCTATATAAAGTGTCACTGAAAAGCTCATACATCAGTCTGGCCATTCTCCTCTGACCTCTGGCATCAACAAGGCGTTTGCGCTCACAGAACTGCCGCTCACTGGATATTTTCTCTTTTTGGGACCGTTCTCTGTAAACCCTAGAGATGGTTGTGCGTGAAAATCCCAGTAGATCAGCAGTTTGTGAAATACTCAGAGCAGCCCGTCTGGCACCAACAACCACGCCACGTTCAAAGTCACTTAAATCTCCTTTCTTCCCCATTCTGATGCTCAGTTTGAACTGCAGCACATCGTCTTGATCGTGCCTACATGCCTACATGCATTGAGTTGCTGCCATGTGATTGGCTGATTAGAAGTTTGCGTTAACGAGCAGTTGGACAGGTGTACCTAATAAAGTGGCCGGTGAGTGTTTATACCGAGATCTCGCAAAAGATACCTCTGATTTGTTTTGTTTTTTCCTCCGCCTGTTTTTTTTCTTTCTCCGTGTCCCTTCCATGGCACCGTAGTTTAGATCTAGTTCAGCATCACTAAGAACTCCTGTTTTGGTTCTGTTTTCTTCTTGTATTCAAGGAGCATCTTTTTGTCATTAATCCCTGCTTTTGCATTGTGTTAAAATACTTTCTTCTCAATAAATTCTGTGTTAGACGGCGTCCACCTGCTGCCTTTGTCACAAAACGCCACAAACTGAAATCAACCAAGCAGCAAAAACAAAAAAAAAACACATTAAACTGTTGCGATCCCACTTGTTATAAAGGATGTGTTACAGATCAGGCTTTAATGAAATAATAATCTCAAGCAATTAAGGTAATAACGGTTAGTTAGTAGTAAAACAGCAAAATTGACCCTGAGACTGAACTATAGGTTGAAAGTGGATGCTGTCAGAAAGAAGGACCATTAAGCCGTCGAGACGTGAGAGACTCCCGAGATCAATACGCCGGCTGACCATCCTCATTACTCGTCCAGAGGTGTGCATCTGAGGAAAGAGTGTGATTATGGAGAGTGTGTGTGGCTCTCCTCTGCTGAAAAGGTGTGTGGGGAGAAAACACCACATAAAGTCCCAGTAGGGTTTAGGAGGCCCCCCCGCCCACAAGCATATTATCCATCAATTACACATAACCGGGGCTTGACTGTGGAGGTGGAATGGCCCAGATGTGACCTGCGCCACCCTCGGTCTCACTCTTGGCCCTGGATTCTCTCTGCATCTCCCAGAACACCAAAGAAGCAGGTGGGCTTCAGACGGCCTGTTAACTTCTGGGACCGAGGCTGAAACGTGAAACCCGGTGGACTGGAAGCCAGGCGCCGCCGTGCTCAGCAGACATGCACGCTCAAGAGCTGATGCAAGCTGTGTATGTTATATCTGAGGGCTGTAGGGTGTAGCTGCCTCATATATGAACATACTGCAGTACATTATGTTGCAGCACTGAACAGCAGGAGGCAGCATATACCTATTTTTCTTTTTTTGCCAGGCAGCAGTGCAGATACAGTATTTCTTGCCTGTTATTGTGCACACAAGAGCAGAGGGTGGAGGGGAACCTTGAGAATAGTAACTCCTTTAAAACAGTGTCACACTCAGGCAACATTAACATCCCACTCTCTCTCTCTCTCTGCAGTCTGCACATGTCATTAGCAAAGCAGTATTTCCCCTGGGTGAGAGTTGCAGCTAGAGGAAAAAGAAAAGAACAGAGGGAAGCAACAACAGGAAGATAGTGAGCTGAAAAGACAGGGGAAATGAAAAAGTGATAGAGCAGGAAACGAGGGGAGCGACGGTGGCTCCGATGCGACGCTAAATAACCCGGGTGAAAAAGGATAATGGAGATAGATGGTCCTCTCCTTTCTCTGCTTTTACTCTCTTTTTACATAGACGAGTGAAGGTCGAGAGGGAATGGAGGCATTATGCAGCAGAGGAGGCAATTCATCAGCGCTGCTGGCGTGCTGTCTGATTAATAATCGAAACTCCAACACGCGCTCACAGCTTATGTCAGCTGTCACTCATGTTCTGATGGGGGAGTTATAATTTCCCCCTCAAGGCACCTGTCATTTGTGCTGAGCTCATGCTATCGCGTGCTCCTTGTGCAGCTGCAGCACCACTAATCCAGTTTGGAGTGGGACAGTGACACCGGGCGTCCAACATGTTTGTGTTTTTTACAAGTTGTCAGTCTTAGTTCAGTCTATCAGGTGCAGAAACCTTTATTGTATTTGGCTCAAACGACTCCACTCCATGCCTAGCGTTGCATGCACCGTCACCCGTGTGCAGTATTTAATTTCCATCTGGATGGATGTAATATTAGTGACACAACATCACATCAAGAGTGTTTCAACTTCCTGTTGACGCACCAGTTTTCAGGTGCAGCTCTGCAAGTATGCATTTGTGATTGGATGTTACGTGTAGCTTAGTATTGTGTTCTCTTTTTGCATCGTTTTTCATCATCTATAGTTTTTTTTTCTGTCTTGCCAGAGGAGCTACGGATGCAGATCGTCTACAGTGCATCAAGTTCCCTTTTAAATAAATAAATAAGAATGTATTGAGCTGCCTGACCACTAAAGTTTATGTCATGCATGGTAAGAAAATACTTAAAAATAATGTCAGGCTCAAGCGTAACCCTATGTATGCTGCATCTCTGTAAAACGATCCTTCATCCTCCGTCTGTCTGAAATGCTGAAGGTTTGCTGAGCAGGAAAAACTGCAGCATCTATTAGTGCTTGTGATCATGAAGGAACAAAACACATCCGTCAGTACAACTTCACCACTAAGTAAGCCTCAGCAGCAGCAGCACCGCAGATTTGAGTCATCTCTCCTCTAAGACACTCTCCGCTAATGTTGAGCATCATCAGCTTTTCTTTCTTTTTTTTTTTTCCCTGCTGCTCCGCTGCCTTGTGGACGCTTCTGTTTTCCCGTTTGTTTAAATTGTCTCGCTTCATTTAGCTCCTTAGTGGTTTTACCTGCAAAAAAACCCAAAACCTACACTCTCAGTAACAGTAATGGAAGCAGAGTGATCATGCCTCAGTGTTTGCACCTCTCCTTCCCTCGGCAGATGGCTCCACCGCAGGAATGGGCTCAGAATCGACAAGTAACAGCCCGGCAGCTTTCTTTTTGTCTTTCTTTCCGACTATCTCTTCCTTCTTTTTTTTTTTTTTTTCTCGATTCCCTCTTTTTTCCTGCAGTGTTTGCAGTTCTGGCCCTGGATGAGCCCTTCAGAGCCAGGAGCACAGGGTGGCAGCCAGGGAGAGTATTCTGTCCTCCCACCTGAGCATCAAAAGCCCTTTTGTGGGTGATGGAGGGAGGACAAGCCTGTCTCTCCCTCCCCCCTGTGCTGTCTCCTCCTCTGAAAGCTCAAGAAGGAATAGTTGGACGGAGAGAGCGACAGGGGGTACAAGAAGAAATAGGAGGAGGAAGTGTGTCCACAGAATGATAATGCAGGTTTTTTTTTTTTT